TCTGGAGAATGGGCGCTTTATTGCTGCGGGGGGCACGGAGCCCCCCAGCTGTTAACCCTTAAGCTGCCGGAGCATCCCTGCCGGGTCCCCCCACCCCACTTCCTTCCTGGCACCGCTGGGGTCCCTGCACCCCACATCTCTTACGGGGGCCTGCAGAGGGGTGGGGGCAGCAGTCGGCTCTGGGCAGAGGGGAAGCTGAAGCTTGGAGGGGGGCTCTGACTTGTCCCCCCCCAGGGTACATCCCTAGCTACCTGGACAAAGATGAACAGTGTGTGGTGTGCGGGGACAAAGCCACCGGCTACCACTACCGCTGCATCACCTGCGAGGGCTGCAAGGTGAGGGGGGATGGGCTGCGGGGGGGGGGGGGCGGAGGAGAGGCAAGGCCGGGGGTCTCACTGTGACCCCCCCTCCACCCCCACCCCAGGGCTTTTTCCGTCGGACCATCCAGAAGAACCTGCACCCCACCTACTCATGCAAGTACGATGGGTGCTGCGTCATCGACAAGATCACCCGCAACCAGTGCCAGCTGTGCCGCTTCAAGAAGTGCATCTCTGTGGGCATGGCCATGGACTGTGAGTGCGGGCGGGGGGCCGGTTGGGGTCACAACCTCAGCTGTAGGGTGCTGTGGGAGCCCAGTGCGGTGAGCAGGGTGTCTGGTGCCTCTGCAGGACCAGGTTGGGGTGCCTGGAACAGCCGGCGGTGCCGTGGGGCAGCTTGGGGTGCCTGCTGCAGGGCTGAGCTGGGGAGCACCCAGGGTGCAGAGGGGCTTTGGGGACCCTTTAGCAGATGCAGTTGGGGTGCGTGGGATATGTGCACGCCACGGGGCAGGTCGGGGTGCCTCATGTAGCCACAGAGAAGATCAGGGCGCCCAGCACAGCCGGCGGTGCTGTGGGGTGTTTGGGGGGATCCTTTTGCAGCTGTGTGAGCGGTCAGGGAGGACCTGGCTTGTGCAACTTGTGCACAGCGTGGGGCAGGGCGCCCGGTGCAGCTGTGGGGCGGTTTGGGGCACCCAGCAGCGCTGGGATGTGGGGCTGTGCTGATGGCCGTCCCGCAGTGGTGCTGGACGACTCGAAGCGCGTAGCCAAGAGGAAGCTGATCGAGGAGAACCGGGAGCGGCGGCGCAAGGAGGAGATGATCAAATCGCTGCAGCACCGGCCCAGCCCCAGCGCAGAGGAGTGGGAGCTGATCCACGTGGTGACCGAGGCGCACCGCAGCACCAACGCGCAGGGCAGCCACTGGAAGCAGAAGAGGAAATTCCTGGTGAGGGCAACGAGGGGCCCTGCACCTGCCCAGGCACTGCAGGCTGAGCACTGCTGTGCTCCTTGTGCTCACACTGTGCTCACACTGCTGCACTTGTTGTGCTCACATTGTGCTCACACTGCTGTGCTCCTTGTGCTCACACTGTGCTCACACTGCTGCGCTCATTGCACACACTGCTGCTGTGCACCGTCCCCATCCAGCTCCGTTGCCCCGGCACGCTCAGCGCAGGCATGGTGGCCACACTCTGTCCCCATCTGGCACCAGGATCGTGGGCCTGGGGGTGTCACTGTCACCGTGTGTCCTTGAGCGTGTCACCCCCGGGGAGGGTTCAGGGTGAGCAGTGACCGAAGGGGACAGCTGTGCCTGCAGGGTGGCCCTTCCCCTGTCCCTGTGCGCGCTGCTCCCTCTCCTGGCTGCCGTCCTGCGCTGCCCTGCCTCAGTTTCCCCCGTGTCCCCAGGGGGTGGGAGTGATCCCAGCCATTCTGTCCCTCCCATCCACCTCTTGTGCCCCCTTCCCCCAGCCCGAAGACATCGGCCAGTCGCCCATGGCCTCCATGCCTGACGGGGACAAAGTGGACCTGGAGGCGTTCAGCGAGTTTACAAAAATCATCACGCCGGCCATCACCCGCGTGGTCGACTTTGCCAAAAAACTGCCCATGTTCTCAGAGGTAATGGGGGGGGGAGGGGGTATGGGGGTGTGAGGGTCCCACAGCCCCAGTGAGCAGCTATGGGGGCATAGGCAGAATGGGGTTGAGGGGGGGCCCGCAGCTCTGCTGACAATGCTGTGAGGGGGGATACGGGATGTGGGGTACGGGGTTCTGGGGGGTGGCAGCCCCACTGTGGGGAGGGATATGGGATATGGGGACACAGGGGGGGGGGAGGGTCCAGCAGCCCCACTTACAGCGCTGCGGGAGGTTATGGGATGTGGGATATGGGGCTGTTGGGGGTCCCGCAGCCCCGCTGACGTTGCGCCCCACAGCTGCCGTGCGAGGATCAGATCATCCTGCTGAAGGGCTGCTGCATGGAAATCATGTCGCTGCGAGCGGCCGTGCGCTACGACCCCGAGAGCGAAACGCTGACGCTGAGCGGGGAAATGGCCGTCAAACGCGAGCAGCTGAAAAACGGAGGGCTGGGGGTCGTGTCTGATGCCATCTTCGACCTCGGCAAGTCGCTGTCTGCCTTCAACCTGGACGACACCGAGGTGGCCCTGCTGCAGGCCGTGCTGCTCATGTCCTCAGGTCAGCGCTCACCCTGGGCTGGGGGGGGGGGGGGGCAGGTCAGGAGCCCCCCAGCATTGGGGGATGCGTGGGGTGGAGACCCCGATGGTTGGGCATGAATGAGGTGGGCACCCTGATCCTCCAGCCATTGGGGGCACAGGGGTGGACACCCCAATACTCAAAACCCCAATGTTTGGGGCCACGTGGGGTGGGCACCCTGGTACCCAAGGTCCCAGTATTTGGGGGCACACAGGGTGGGCACTTTGATATCTACAGCCCCAGCACTGGGGGCACAAGAGATGCCCCCCCTGATGCCCAGAGTGCCGATATTTGGGGATGCAGTGTGGGCACCTCAGCACCCAGACCTGAGCATTTTGGGGGCACCTGTGCCAAGCCAGGTGGGGAGCAGCAGGGCAGACAGCCCATACGCACCCCACAACCCCGCTCCGTCACCCCACACCTTTTGGGGCTGCCCACGGGTCGGACACCCTTTGAAACCCCTTCTTTCACCTCCCCTGCAGACCGGACGGGGCTGATCTGCGTGGATAAGATTGAGAAGTGCCAGGAGACTTACCTGCTGGCATTCGAGCACTACATCAACTACCGCAAACACAACATTCCCCACTTCTGGCCCAAGCTGCTGATGAAGGTGACGGACCTGCGCATGATCGGCGCGTGCCACGCCAGCCGCTTCCTGCACATGAAGGTGGAGTGCCCCACCGAGCTCTTCCCTCCCCTCTTCCTCGAGGTCTTCGAGGACCAGGAGGTGTAGGGCCCCCCCCCCCCCCCCCCC